CTCAATAAAACATCTAAACTACTGGGACCGACTAAAGAGCCTAAATCTGTACTCCCTTGAGCGCAGGCGGGAGAGGTACATAATAATTTACACGTGGAAAATATTAGAGGGGCTGGTCCCAAACCTGCACACAGAAATAACATCACATGAGACCAGAAGACATGGCAGGATGAGCAGAATACCCCCGTTGAAAAGCAGAGGTGCAACAGGTACTCAGAGAGAACTCTATCAACATCAGAGGCCCGAGACTGTTCAACACGCTTCCGCTACACATAAGGGGCATAACTGGCAAACCCCTCACAGTGTTCAAGAGAGAACTGGATAAACACCTTCAAAGGATACCTGATCAACCAGGTTGTGATTCATACGTCAGGCTGCGAGCAGCCGCGTCCAACAGCCTGGTTGACCAGTCCAGCAACCAGGAGGCCTGGTCGACGACCGGGCCGCGGGGACGCTAAACCCCGGAAGCACCTCAAGGTAACCTCAAGGTAAGGTTCCATTCATTTTTAAATTAATGGCGTATTGCAACCTTATGCATGTATGATCGTTGAGAATCTTTATTTTCCTGGGGACATCCTCATGGGTACAAATTTCTTGTATAGGTTTCATTACCCCTTGTCTGCACAAAAGGGGCAAGGAACTGCAGATTGCATTTGGGACAGATTTCCTACCTGGTAGAGATGATCGACCATCCCCCAGTTGTAGCTTCAATTAAAAGGAAGCAGAAATAACACACACACACTCCCCTAATTTGCTTTTTTAAGTCTCTTCCAGACACAGTTAAGAAGTCATGTGGGTTACATGCATTGACCAAACAAAGTTGCCCACCATATTGTGTTAAATTTGTTAAAGTGGCCGTGGGATGTCACATCCTACCAGGTACCATCCTTCAGGTGCTGGAAGATGTGATAGGTTATTAATTCCCCATCATCTAATTGTGGGGCTTGATAAAAGAGCACTCATTCCAGTCGTCAATCTCTCACATAAGACTTCTTGCTTCAAGGCGGGTGATAGGGTATATCAGGGAACTATGGTGATTGACACAGAAATTTTTCACCACGAGTCAGCTGGGATGATAACCGTCACAGCACAATGTAGTGCTTTAAATATGACAGACAACAAGACACCATCAAAGCTAAAGAATGAGACAGATGTTTCAAATAACATACAGGATATAGATAAGTTGATTTCGGCACTCGATTTGCAAAATGTTCCGCAGACTGATAGAAAGCTGTTCAGGGGAATTTTATGAAAAATCCCAAAATTGTTTGCAACCGAGGATGACCAGATTAGTCTTCTTGATAGGATTGAGCACACCATTCCAACAGGTGATCACATGCCTGTTTATACAAGGCAGTGGAGGTTGCCGGAACAGGTTAAGAAAGCTATCAGGGATGAGTGCCAGAAAATGTTGAGGCAGGACATGATAGAGCCTAGTACATCACTGTGGCTGTCTCCTGTTTTGTTAGTTCGTAAACCAGATGGTAGTTATCGCTTTTGTGTGGACTACTGGAAGGTAAACGAAATAACTAAGGGTGATGTGTATCCTTTGCCACGAATTCAGGAGATAATAGATCAATTTGGAGCTGCTAAGTATTTTTCTACTCTCGATGCTAAGTCGGAATATTAGGCAATACCAGTGACTGAAAAAGGCAGGGAGAAAACAGCATTCTCTGATCGCAGGCACACCTACCAATTTCGTAGGATGCCTGTTGGCTTTAAGACAGCACCTTCATCATTTCAGAGGGCCATTAACTTTATCCTCAGCCCAGTTTTGGGAAGGCATTCGTTAGCATACCTGGATGATGTGGTAACCTATTCCAGGACGTTTGATGAGCACTTACGAGACTTGACCGAGACTGATCTTGTTAGATCGAGCGGGTATTAAATTAAGTGTGCAGAAGTGCACTCTGACAGCTCAGAAATTCAAATTTCTGGGATTCCAGATGAGCACAGATGGTATCAGGCCTAACCCTGACTCTTGTTATGCCATTGCTGAAATGCCAACTCCAAGAACAGCAAAAGGACGTGTGCAGGTTTCTAGGTGCAGCCGGATACTTTCGTCGCCACATTGAAGGTTTTGCGAAAATATCAGCACCCCTGACCGATTTAACAAGGAAAAATGTCAAGTTTCTTTGGAAGCTAGAACATGATGTAGCCCATGCACAAATGAAAAGTCAACTCAGTACAACACCAGTATTGGCAGTGTCTGATTTTGAGAAAGAGTGGGAAGTACATACAGACGCAAGTGGTGTAGCTATTGGTGGATGTTTGATGCAAAATGATAATGAAATAGGCTGTATGAATTTTGTCATTACTTTCAGTGATAATCTTACCAGTCTCTGTGATGTAGTGGTAAGACACTCGCTTGGCGTTCTGCGAGCGCTTTGTCATGGGTTCGTATCCTGGCCAGGGAGGATTTACTGGGCGCAAATCCTTAACTGTAGCCTCTGTTTAACTCAACAGTAAAATGTGTACTTGGTTGTAAAAACGATTCTTCACAGCGGGGATCGTATTCCATGGACCTGCCCGAAACCCTACGCATACTAGTGGCTGTACAAGAATGTAAGTTGCCAGTTGCACTAACATCACACATAATAAAAGTGTTTGAAAGAGTGATTAGGAATCAAATTTCTAGTTTTATGGAAAACAATGAATTGCACAATCCAGGACAACATGGATTTAGAGCGGGAAGATCCTGTCTGTCACAGTTACTCAACCACTATGACAAAATCACAGAAGCCCTAGAAGAAAAGCAAAATGCAGATGTTGTATACACAGACTTTGCAAAGGCGTTCGACAAATGTGACCATGGGGTGATAGCTCACAAAATGAGGTCAATGGGAATAACTGGAAAAGTAGGACGCTGGATACTCAATTTCCTGTCGAACAGAACACAAAGAGTAACAGTCAATCAGATAAAATCGAGTCCAAGCGATGTTAAAAGCTCTGTACCTCAAGGTACAGTCCTTGCACCGCTACTGTTCCTTATTCTCATATCTGATATAGACAAAAATACACGCCACAGCTTCGTGTCGTCCTTTACAGATGACACAAAAGTCAGCATGAAAATTACCTCTGCTGAAGACATTGGAAAACTACAAGCAGATGTCAACAAAGTTTTCGATTGGGCAGCAGAACATAACATGATGTTTAACAGTGATAAATTTCAGGTACTCAGGTACGGCAAAAATGAGGATCTGAAACATAATACAGGGTACAAAACACAATCGAATCTTCCCATAGTAGAAAAACAGCATGTCAAGGATTTGGGAATAATGATGTCCGACGATCTAACGTTTAGGGAGCATAACCAAGCAAATATCGCGTCAGCCAGAAAAATGATCGGATGGATTACGAGAACTTTCAAATCCAGGGATCCCATCACAATGGTTGTACTCTTCAAGTCACTTGTGTTGTCCCGTCTTGAGTACCGCTCAGTACTCACTTCCCCCTTCAGAGCAGGAGAGATTGCTGAAATAGAGGGAATACAGAGAACATATACGGCACGCATAGACGAGATAAAACACCAAAATTATTGGGATCGTCTCAAAGCTCTCCAAATGTACTCTCTAGAAAAGAGACGAGAGAGATACCAAATAATATACACATGGAAAATACTGGAGGGTCAGGTCCCAAATCTACACAGTAAAATAACAACGTACTGGAGTGAACGATATGGAAGAAAATGCAAGATTGAACCAGTGAAGAGCAGAGGTGCCATAGGCACAATCAGAGAGCACTGTATAAACATCAGAGGTCCGCGGTTATTCAACGTCCTCCCAGCGACAATAAGAAATATTGCCGGAACAACCGTGGACATTTTCAAGAGAAAACTGGACGGTTTTCTAAGAGAAGTTCCGGATCAGCCGGGCTGTGGTGGGTATGTGACCCTGCGCGCCACTCCAAGCAACAGCCTGGTGGACCAAACTCTCACAAGTCGAGCCTGGCCTCAGGCCGGGCTTGGGGAGTGGAAGAACTCCCAGAACCCCATCAACCAGGTATCAACCAGGTATCAACCAGGTAACAACTCTTGTATGTATCTCAAAAAAAAATCTTTGATTAAATAAATTTTGTTTAGAATTTTATGGTGTTTAGTAGAATTTCCCCCCAATCTTTATTATACTTTCTGTTGATGGGCTCAAGCCCCATGCTTGAGATTAGGCTCCCTCTGCAAGCCAGCAAGCATTTATTTAATATCGCATATAATACCTTTGTCTTTTGTTTTAATTCCACACTTAATGTAAATCTTATCCCTCCTTTTCAGCGAACTGGGGATCCATTTTCGGGGTTTATGCCTAATTGACGGCATCCTGCTTCACCGTTAATTGGGGGAATTACTCAGGGGGTAGAAGATAGTAGGTGGTGGCGACGTAAGTCAGAGTTTGCAGTGTAGCATCGGTACACTGCACGTAGAAAGGTACAGTATCCTCGAGCTGTGATATCCAAATGATCAAATGTTTACATCTTGAGGAGTTGAACGGAAGGTTACACAGCAGTACTCTGGTCTGTAGATTTACCTAATAACAACCAGCCTTTAACCATTAAGTGAGGTTAAGGGCTGGCCCCCGTTACAACCACAACCCAGGTAAGGTGTGTGAACACGTGAGGTGCCAGATTCAAACTGGAAGGAAGGCAACGAAAGTGGTAAGCCTGTCGCCATACGACAAAACAGAGCCAGCCCCTGAAACAGAGTGGTCATTCGAAAAGAGGGGCAAAAGACCCAGGGGATCAGACAGGACAAGTCTAGTATGAATTGCAGATCCGCACAGTCCCTTTTCGGAACTGAAAACAGGCGGGAAACCCACTCCAGGATGACCTGACAGAGCGCAGGAGAAGAGACCCATCGCGTCAGCTCAGATTCCCCCCCCCCCCCCCCCGAAAGAAAAGAAATGATCCAACGCTAGGAAATTACCAGAAATGCCCACGAATCGGGCGAGAGTAAACAGCGCGAGCCTCTCCTCTACGCCCCATCAATAAGACGAACCGCAAAAGACCCGATGACCCCTACGAGAGCCCAGGAAGCCCAGAAGGGCAGGAAGGTCGGGGCTCCGCAGCAGCAGGAAGGTCGGGGCTCCGCAGCAGCAGGAAGGTCGGGGCTCCGCAGCAGCAGGAAGGTCGGGGCTCCGCAGCAGCAGGAAGGTCGGGGCTCCGCAGCAGCAGGAAGGTCGGGGCTCCGCAGCAGCAGGAAGGTCGGGGCTCCGCAGCAGCAGGAAGGTCGGGGCTCCGCAGCAGCAGGAAGGTCGGGGCTCCGCAGCAGCAGGAAGGTCGGGGCTCCGCAGCAGCAGGAAGGTCGGGGCTCCGCAGCAGCAGGAAGGTCGGGGCTCCGCAGCAGCAGGAAGGTCGGGGCTCCGCAGCAGCAGGAAGGTCGGGGCTCCGCAGCAGCAGGAAGGTCGGGGCTCCGCAGCAGCAGGAAGGTCGGGGCTCCGCAGCAGCAGGAAGGTCGGGGCTCCGCAGCAGCAGAAAGGTCGGGGCTCCGCAGCAGCAGGAAGGTCGGGGCTCCGCAGCAGCAGGAAGGTCGGGGCTCCGCAGCAGCAGGAAGGTCGGGGCTCCGCAGCAGCAGGAAGGTCGGGGCTCCGCAGCAGCAGGAAGGTCGGGGCTCTCATAGCGGCAAGAAGGTCAGGGGTGCCGTAGCGGCAAGAAGGTCAGGGGTGCCGTAGCGGCAGGAAGGTCGGGACAGTAAGAGTATAACAACATATGCTGTATAAAGTGACCTCGTGTGGTAAAGTGTTCACTAACGTTGTAGAGTAAGTACGGGAACATTTAAGCAACCCATGCCAGAGTTGAGGAGTATACAGGCCAACATGTTACCCATCCTGGCTACCTTGCTCACCCCTCCTCACTCTCTCCTTGGCTTGGGTAAGTTGTTGGGCAAGTTGTTGGGCAAGTTGGTGATCAATGTTGGGTAAGTTGGTGACCATTGTTGGGTAAGTTGGTGACCATTGTTGGGAAAGTTGGTAATCATTGTTGGGTAAGTTGTTGGGTAAGTTGAGGACCATTGTTGGTAAGTTCTTGGGTAAGTTAGTGACCATTGTTAGATAAGTTGGGGACCATTATTGGGTAAGTTGCTAGGTAAGTTGGGCGCGCAATTCTGGGATCAATGATAGCGTGAGGATAAGACCAGGTTGGTCACGACTGTGGCCAGCACCACCGCGGCGGTGTTCCCACACCCAGCACCACCGCGGCGGTGTTCCCACACCCAGCACCACCGCGGCGGTGTTCCCACACCCAGCACCACCGCGGCGGTGTTCCCACACCCAGCACCACCGCGGCGGTGTTCCCACACCCAGCACCACCGCGGCGGTGTTCCCACACCCAGCACCACCGCGGCGGTGTTCCCAGCACCACCGCGGCGGTGTTCCCAGCACCACCCCGGCGGTGTTCCCACACCCAGCACCACCCCGGTGGTGTTCCCACACCCAGCACCACCGCGGCGGTGTTTCCACACCCAGCACCACCGCGGCGGTGTTCCCACACCCAGCACCACCGCGGCGGTGTTCCCACACCCAGCACCACCGCGGCGGTGTTTCCACACCCAGCACCACCGCGGCGGTGTTCCCACACCCAGCACCACCGCGGCGGTGTTTCCACACCCAGCACCACCGCGGCGGTGTTCCCACACCCAGCACCACCGCGGCGGTGTTCCCACACCCAGCACCACCGCGGCGGTGTTCCCACACCCAGCACCACCGCGGCGGTGTTTCCACACCCAGCACCACCGCGGCGGTGTTCCCACACCCAGCACCACCGCGGCGGTGTTCCCACACCCAGCACCACCGCGGCGGTGTTCCCACACCCAGCACCACCGCGGTGGTGTTCCCACACCCAGCACCACCGCGGCGGTGTTCCCACACCCAGCACCACCGCGGCGGTGTTCCCACACCCAGCACCACCGCGGTGGTGTTCCCACACCCAGCACCACCGCGGCGGTGTTCCCACACCCAGCACCACCGCGGTGGTGTTCCCACACCCAGCACCACCGCGGCGGTGTTCCCACACCCAGCACCACCGCGGCGGTGTTTCCACACCCAGCACCACCGCGGCGGTGTTTCCACACCCAGCACCACCGCGGTGGTGTTCCCACACCCAGCACCACCCCGGCGGAGCTCCTTGCCCACACCCAGCACCACCCCGGCGGTGTTCCTTGCCCACACCCAGCACCACCCCGGCGGTGATCCTTGCCCACACCCAGCACCACCCCGGTGGTGTTCCTTGCCCACACCCAGCACCACCCCGGCGGAGCTCCTTGCCCACACCCAGCACCACCCCGGCGGAGCTCCTTGCCCACACCCAGCACCACCCCGGCGGAGCTCCTTGCCCACACCCAGCACCACCCCGGCGGAGCTCCTTGCCCACACCCAGCACCACCCCGGCGGTGTTCCTTGCCCACACCCAGCACCACCCCGGTGGTGTTCCTTGCCCACACCCAGCACCACCCCGGCGGTGTTCCTTGCCCACACCCAGCACCACCCCGGTGGTGTTCCTTGCCCACACCCAGCACCACCCCGGCGGTGTTCCCACACCCAGCACCACCGCGGTGGTGTTCCCACACCCAGCAACACCGCGGTGGTGTTCCCACACCCAGCACCACCGCGGTGGTGTTCCCACACCCAGCAACACCGCGGTGGTGTTCCCACACCCAGCACCACCGCGGCGGTGTTACCACACACCCAGCAACACCGCGGTGGTGTTCCCACACCCAGCACCACCCCGGTGGTGTTACCACACACCCAGCACCACCCCGGTGGTGTTACCACACACCCAGCAACACCGCGGTGGTGTTCCCACACCCAGCACCACCGCGGTGGTGTTCCCACACCCAGCACCACCCCGGTGGTGTTACCACACACCCAGCAACACCGCGGTGGTGTTCCCACACCCAGCACCACCGCGGTGGTGTTCCCACACCCAGCACCACCCCGGTGGTGTTACCACACACCCAGCACCACCCCGGTGGTGTTACCACACACCCAGCAACACCGCGGTGGTGTTCCCACACCCAGCACCACCGCGGTGGTGTTCCCACACCCAGCACCACCGCGGCGGTGTTCCCACACCCAGCACCACCGCGGCGGTGTTACCACACACCCAGCAACACCGCGGTGGTGTTCCCACACCCAGCACCACCGCGGTGGTGTTCCCACACCCAGCACCACCCCGGTGGTGTTCCCACACCCAGCACCACCCCGGTGGTGTTCCCACACCCAGCACCACCCCGGTGGTGTTACCACACACCCAGCACCACCGCGGTGGTGTTCCCACACCCAGCACCACCCCGGTGGTGTTTCCACACACCCAGCACCACCCCGGTGGTGTTACCACACACCCAGCAACACCGCGGTGGTGTTCCCACACCCAGCACCACCGCGGTGGTGTTCCCACACCCAGCACCACCGCGGCGGTGTTACCACACACCCAGCAACACCGCGGTGGTGTTCCCACACCCAGCACCACCGCGGTGGTGTTCCCACACACCCAGCAACACCGCGGTGGTGTTCCCACACCCAGCACCACCGCGGTGGTGTTCCCACACCCAGCACCACCCCGGTGGTGTTCCCACACCCAGCACCACCCCGGTGGTGTTCCCACACCCAGCACCACCCCGGTGGTGTTCCCACACCCAGCACCACCCCGGTGGTGTTCCCACACCCAGCACCACCCCGGTGGTGTTCCCACACCCAGCACCACCGCGGCGGTGTTTCCACACCCAGCACCACCGCGGCGGTGTTCCCACACCCAGCACCACCGCGGCGGTGTTTCCACACCCAGCACCACCGCGGTGGTGTTCCCACACCCAGCACCACCGCGGCGGTGTTCCCACACCCAGCACCACCGCGGCGGTGTTTCCACACCCAGCACCACCGCGGCGGTGTTCCCACACCCAGCACCACCGCGGTGGTGTTCCCACACCCAGCACCACCGCGGTGGTGTTCCCACACCCAGCACCACCGCGGCGGTGTTTCCACACCCAGCACCACCGCGGCGGTGTTACCACACACCCAGCAACACCGCGGTGGTGTTCCCACACCCAGCACCACCGCGGTGGTGTTCCCACACCCAGCACCACCGCGGCGGTGTTACCACACACCCAGCAACACCGCGGTGGTGTTCCCACACCCAGCACCACCGCGGTGGTGTTCCCACACCCAGCACCACCGCGGCGGTGTTACCACACACCCAGCAACACCGCGGTGGTGTTCCCACACCCAGCACCACCCCGGTGGTGTTCCCACACCCAGCACCACGCAAGCCGATTATATCAGAAATCTAAGCGTCCATTGCCCCTGTCAGTCTTAAGTGTGAACCTTTCACGAGAGTTCTTTCTTATATAATCGCCTTGCGTGTTTTTTGCAAGTGTGTGTTACAATTAAGACTCGTGTTCTCTCACATGTGTGATTTGTGTCATTGAAAACGACCTTCTGGTCTGTCGCCACCTAGTGCAATTGGGTCATTGGGAGTTAATAGCTTCGGCTACCATTGACTTAACTGTCTGGTGGTCATGTGGTCAGAGTACTGGACTTGTCTAGGGGTTCATTGTCCCTGGCAGTCTAAAGTTTGAACCCTTCATGAGAGGAGTTCTTTCTGATATAATCGGCTTCCGTTTTTCTGCAAGTGTGATTTTATATTATATATATTATTATATTATATTATATTATATATATTATTATATTATATTATAATATTATATATATATACATATATATACTTTATATATATATATATATATATATATATATATATATATATATATATATATATATATATATATATTATGTATGTATGATAATACATAATCCCTCTAATGCGTTATGCGTGGTTTCCTCCGAGGCTATGGGTCCCCCTTCTTCCAGCTAGAGGTGGTACTCCCTTGTATGTATGATATTATATATATATATATATATATATATATATATATATATATATATATATATATATATATATATATATATATATATTAGTATATTTTGGTAGCAGTCTTTCCTGAAGACATATATTATTAAATATGACCGAAAAAGTAAGATTAATAATTCTAACACGAATTTTCTCAATCTTTCGTACATTACGCTTCACTGTTGGAGGTAAATCAAAAATCACTTCTCCAAAATTCATTTTTATTTCTAGTCTGACGCGACACGGGCGCGTTTCGTAAAACTTATTACATTTTCAAAGACTTCACAAATACACAACTGATTAGAACGTATCTCTGATTTTATATCTACATTTGAGTGAGGTGGTAAGGGTGATGTGGCATTAACACAAGACAGAACAGGAGGGGATATTAATAGGGTATTAAAAGTATCAACACAAGACAGAACAGAAACAATGGGTATTGAATAGAAGTGTTTGTAGAAAGCCTATTGGTCCATATTTCTTGATGCTTCTATATTGGAGCGGAGTCTTGAGGTGGGTAGAATATAGTTGTGCAATAATTGGCTGTTGATTGCTGGTATTGACTTCTTGATGTGTAGTGCCTCGCAAACGTCAAGCCGCCTGCTATCGCTGTATCTATCGATGATTTCTGTGTTGTTTACTAGGATTTCTCTGGCGATGGTTTGGTTATGGGAAGAGATTATATGTTCCTTAATGGAGCCCTGTTGCTTATGCATCGTTAAACGCC